CTGAAGTAGATCTGAACTCTAAGTTCCTTAATTGATTGATGATCAATTTTACAAGATTAATCAAAGGACAATTTCTTGCCTCATTGATCCTAATATCTAACTCAATTCATAACCTTGACATTCAATTCAGATATGAGAAATTAACTCAACTTCCATTGATAAAAATCTTCTAGGTTCAATTTAATTGAATAGCTAATTCAAAAATTGCATTAAAGAAAGAATTAAACGTTCAATACAATCAAGATATTAAAATCCAGATTCACAATCAATTTATAATATCAAAATTGGATCCACTAATCCTTAACAAAAAGAAATCAAAACATATTCCTAAAAGAAAAAGAGAAAGAAAGAGTGGAAGAAGAGGAGCTGCAGAATTTCTTCATAAATCCAATCCCCAGCCTGATTTTTCAAGGTCCAGAGCTTGGAAGTCGCTCCCAATCTTCCTCTCTAACTCTCCTAAAGTGTAGAAATGAAAAAAATGAGAAAAGATCCCAAATCTGAACTCTCAACTACTATTTATAATTTTTGCTGCCTCTTTTCATGTTAACACTTTAATCACTGAGAGTTGTAACATAGAAGGCCTTCCAAAAGCTTCTAAGGCTAAAGTAGGAACTTTAAACGTCCAAAGTTGACACTTGAAAGCAGTTTTCCTAAATTTTGTTATTGCGCATAGACACTTTCAATAGTTAAAGTTGCTATGCGCATGTGTTTTATGTGAATTAGCTTTGCGCATGGATACTTTCAGCAACAAGAGTGGTTACGCGCAATTGCGCATTGGTACTTTCAGTACTAAGAGTTGCTACGCACAAGTTTTCTATATGAATTAGCCTTGGGGGTTGATACTCTCACTGAGTAAAGTGCTTACACATAAGTCTTTCATGAAATTGCCTGTTAGAGTGACAACTTTCAGTACTTAGAGTTGTTATACAATTGATCTTCATGGATTTTATTCTTCAAAGTGTTAACTCTATGCACCCAAAGTTGCTACGCCTAACACATATCACTTGATTTTTTATCTCTTAAGCTCAAATCTTTTACTTTCTTCTCTTAGATCTCAACTTTAAAGACTCCAGCTCAAGCTTCTGTACAAAATTAAGTCTTTTTAAGTAGAATTGTTTCAAAATTGGAATAAAATCTAAAATTTCAAACTATTTACACAATTATGAATAACAATGCAATTTTTATGGTATTTTCAAGTTTATTTATTATTTAACTACTTATTTACTAATAAAAACTAAGGTAAAAATATGGTAAAATGTGGATTTATCAAGTGTCAGTTACAAAATTTCATCTAAGTTTATCATAGGCTTTTTCTAAGTCAAGTTTAATAATCATATAACCACTTTGGCCTTTAAGGTTATGAAAGGAATGAGACAACTCTTGAAGTATTAGAGCATTATCAATACCCTGTCTATTAGGAATAAAACTAGATTAATTTTCAGAGATTATATAAGACATGGAATCTTTCAACCTCTTAGCAATAATCTTGGTAATGATTTTATAGCTGGCGTTACAGAGGGAGATGGGCCTAAATTTTTAATGTGATCAGGGTTATTAATTTTAGGAATTAGAGAAATTTGAGTATTATTGATAGCAGCAATTTTAGCAAGATTATAGAAAACATCTAGAACAAAACTATGTAAAAAATGAGCCAAGAAATTCCATTGGCTTTTAAAAAATAGGGCATGGAGACCATCTGGCCTAGGGGATTTGACATTGCCTATGCCAAATAAGGAAGCCCTGATCTCTTCTAAATAGATATTTGCAGAAAGTCTAAACCTATTTTGATTTAGACATGATAAAGGCTTTGATCTTATTAGAGTTCCAGAGACACCAGACTCCCTTGAAAAACCAATAGCATCAATCTTCTCAGACCTGTCCAAGTTAATTTTCCTAATGATCTTATCTGCTTTTTTTAAGCTAACCCTAGGTCCAAATAACACAATAGAATCTAGCTTATGGACAATGATCAAGTCATTAACAAGCCTAGAGAAAGTTTTACAGTCTGTACCTCTATAATTCCAGAAAAACAATTCATTAATAACAAGAGGTATTTAGTGGGCATATGAAAAAAGCTCAGATGAGTCCAAGCTGAAGCCTAAGTTTTGCAAAGCAGAAGGGCCTTTAATAGTTTTATGACTTAGGTTGTTATCTAGGTTAAGGTCCATAGGGGTTATAGGATTAGGGGGTTTGTCTGTAGGGAAAAGTTCCAGAGGAATCTGAGGGTTCCAATAGTTCCTAAGATTCATACCCAAGATGTCTTGGATGGATCTGCTCCCATTTTTATTTGACCTAAGCTCATATTCCAAGTTTCTCATTGAACACAAAATATCTTTGTCATTTTGATTTTTAGAAAGGGGGGTCTTAATGACAGGGTTAGGAAGGTTAGAATTGACAGACTGGGGATTGGAATTCTTTTTATTATTAAGATTCTCAGGTTTATATTTAGGCTTAGATTTATTAAATCTCCTAACTTGGCTTAACAGGTTTGTAGATGGAGAGGACTTTTCTATATATTTAGATTTAGAAAGGTCAGTTAGAAGAGTTTGCTTATCAGAGGCCACATTAAAATTAATAACTGGAAAAACATATTCAGGATAGTCAATATTACTTAACTTATGAGAGTGATTTCCTAGAATATCAAATCTGGACTGAGAATGACTCTCTTTCTCTTTCTCATTCTCATTCTCATTATTCCTACTAGTTCCTAGAGCTCTAGGTTATGATTGCTTCTTCCTCAAGGGTTTTTTAACTAGCATCCAGGGACCAAATTTACCTTAGTCCTCTCCACCCTGAATTCCTTTAGTATCAGGCACACCACTTCCTAATTGGTCCCTAGTGATAGGGCCATTATCTTCACCATCAACTATATCCATATTGGAACAGGGCTCAACTTCTCTATTTTCTTGATTAGAGATCAAACTCTCAGGACAAGATTCCATCTTATGCCTATATCTAACATAACTGAAGCAAATAAGATGCAATCCTTCATACTTAACCCTAAATTCCTAGCCTAGGACTTTAAAGGAAGGTATTAATTTATTATTCAAATCTAACTCAATACATATCCTTGCAAACCTATCCCTGGACACCAAAGATGTGTTGTGGGTCTATTTTTAGCATAGATCCCAGGCAAGCCCCTACCTGCCATAAAAATTTTTCATTATATAATTTGAGAGGGAGGTCAGGAATTCTGACTTAGGCTGCAATTTTCCTAGGGTTATAGTCTGTGGGCTTGACCAGAGGCCTCCATCTCTGAATTAAGAGATAATGATCCAAAATCAACCGTAGTCCTCCAAATAAGGCATTTTTATAGTCTTTGACATTATCAAATTTCACAAGGAAAAAGTCATTATTTAAATTCAAGATTTTCAGTTGTCCATTTTTTCCTAAATATTTCTTAATTTTTATTAAAAAAAATAAAACTAATGGATTTTTTTAGTAGTTTTACTATGAGGGTAAGTTTCTAAGGAGCACCATGTCTCATAATCCTCAAGAGGGATCTTTAGCTTAGGGCAAAGATCTTGGGGGGTGTTGTTCTGATTCACAGGTTCTTTGAGCTCTAGAGGAATATTGAAAACCTTTAGTATAGAGTTTACAATTTCTTCGTCCCCTAAGATTAGATCTAGGTCATTTGAAGATAAGACCTTATCTTTATACAACATGCATATAGAAGTAGGGTTTGAGAACACCTGATTAACTTTGTGATCGTCAACAAAACCTTCTAGTGTGCAAGATGGAAGTTCTTCTTCAGATAAGTCAAGAAACCATTTTTACCTTCTCAGTACTGCATACCTTTAAATCTACTTTCTCTTAAGAAGTTTCTTGGCTTAAGAATGATCCATACCTTCCCTTTTCCGTAAAGAGAAAAGCTGTAAGGAATGACTCTTATTAGGAACCCCCAGTTACGCAGTGCTAGACGATGGAAGCGAATTCGCTAGATTAATTTGTTATATTTACTTTTGATACATATAACTTTTTAATATTTAATTAAAATTTTTAATTTTTATTTTACGTTAAAATAATTATTAATAATTACCTCATAAATAATTATTTTTATATTTAAATTATAACTTTTAAAAATTATTTTTAAACTAAATTAATTAATAAAAAATATATAAATATATTCGTACAATTAGACGATACTTTACTAATTAAATATCTATTTTAATATGCATTAAGAATTAAATATTACATTAACAATTTTTTTAAAGCACATTAAAATCTAAGACATCAAGTATCTAACTAACATGTTTAAAACATATATTATTATCAAATCATTTCATTCATCAAAGTTAAAATAAATAATTCAAATGATTCAAAATATTTAAAACAAATATTCTAATTAATCTCTTAATTATTTAAATCTTTTTAAGAAAGTTTTTTTTTATAATTATAATAGTCTTCCTCTTATCATCATATTTATTATAATAATTCAAATTTAAATATTACTTATATTAATAAATTCTAATATAGATAAAATTAATGGTTTTAATTTTATAAAATAATTTCAATTTTAAATAAATATTATTAAAAAAAATTCACTTTCAACAAGAAAAGCAATGTAAATTGCGGATGGTTCCATAGACTTTGCATGAATTCAAGCTTTAATGACCAAATTTTAATGTTCAATTTTTTATTTATTTTCTGGTATATTTAAGCCTAACTCATTTACTAAAATAAAGAAGAAATATTTAATTTTAATTAAAAATAATACTAAAAATGGGTCAAATTTTTTAAATGAAAAAAATAAAAAATTACTAAAATATAATATTTTGAAAAAAATTAACGAAAATATAAATTTTTAAAATTTTTTTTCCAAAAATACGTGTTGTGATTTTTGACAATTTTTTTAAAATTTTTTGACTAATAATTTTTATTTATTATTTTTTAAAATCACCAAAAAAATAATTTTTAAAATTTAGTAACTGTTTGTAGTTCTATATTAAAAAAAATAAAATTAATCCTATTAAAAATACCTGAATTTTGTCTTATTCCGTACTGTCCATTTACCAAAATAAGGTAGCGATAATTGATTATTTCCCCCAAATACCTGAAAAGCAGGTGTCGCGATTTTGCAGCCCTAGCTTCCTCCGCCGGGAAGGTCCAAGGTCAATCTCCCTCGCCCCTCACAGCTTCTTCGACGTTCTCTCTGAAGCTCTTATTCTTCTAATCAATCCACTAACACTGCAATCTTTTTCAATCCATGTCGTAAGCTAAGAACAAGGTAAACCCTACTCAACTCACTCAAATTCAGTGCTCTTTCGGATATGCTCTTGCTTCCCTAGTTTGTTACGGTTATAAGCTAAATGTCTGCCAACAACAATAACCCTTCTAAGGGCCCTGGGGCCCCTTCGTCCTCCATACCCGGAACCTCCGCCTACCCACCTTCGCAGCTTGCGCCGGGCTTTCCGGGCCAGTTCCCACTCTCCCAAGCCCACGCCATTGTGCAAGCGCAGTTTCAGGCTCAGCTCCAAGCCCATGGGCTTTCTCTCAACCACAATTTAGCTCTGCCCGGCAATGCCAATAGCGCGAGCCTGAAACGTTTCCTTCCAAAACCCCCGGTTCACCCCGTTGGGTTTAACGCGGTCACTCCGTTTAAACCCATGGAGCTGACCCCCGCCGCCCGAAGAAAGAAGCAGAAGCTCAACGAGAAGCAGCTTCCTGAGAAGGTTGCCGCGATTCTGCCAGAGTCGGCGCTGTACACTCAGCTTCTTGAGTTTGAGGCTCGTGTTGACGCTGCTCTTGCTAGAAAGAAGGTTGACATACAAGAAGCGCTGAAGAACCCACCCTGCATTCAGAAAACTCTTAGAATTTACGTGTTCAACACTTTTGCGAATCAGAATCGCCCCGCCATGGGGAAGCCGAATGCCGAGCCTCCTACTTGGACTCTTAAGATAGTTGGGAGGATATTGGAAGATGGTGAAGACCCTGATCAGCCAGGAATTGTTCATAGGTCGTCGTCTCCTTTGTATCCCAAGTTCTCTGCGTTTTTCAAGAGAGTGACGATTTCCTTGGACAAGAGGCTGTATCCTGATAATCACCTCATCACGTGGGAGAACTCGCGATCCGCTGCGACTCATGAAGGTTTTGAGGTGAAGAGGAAGGGGGATAAGGAGTTCTCTGCGCATATACGGTTGGAAATGAATTATGTCCCGGAGAAGTTTATGCTTTCGCCGGCATTGAGAGAAGTGCTTGGTACTCAGGTTGACACCCGGCCGAGGATTGTTGCTGCAATTTGGCATTATGTGAAGGCTAGGAAATTGCAGAACCCAAATGACCCTTCTTTCTTTCACTGCGATCAGGCACTTCAGAAAGTGTTTGGGGAAGATAAGATGAAGTTTACTACGGTTTCGCAGAAAATATCGCAGCATTTGTTCCCTCCTCAGGTTGTACTTTTGGAGCATAAGATCAAGCTCTCTGGAAGTAGTCCTGTTGGATCTGCTTGTTATGATGTCATGGTTGATATTCCTTTTCCCATTCAGAGGGAATTGTCTGCTTTGTTGGCCAACATGGAGAAGAACAAAGAGATTGATGTGTGCGATGAATCCATATGTGGAATCATTAGGAAAATACATGAGCACCGAAGGAGACGAGCGTTCTTTGTTGGTTTCAGTCAATCTCCCGTGGAATTTATAAATGCCTTGGTCGAATCTCAAAGCAAGGATCTGAAGATTGCAGCTGGAGAATCTGGTCACAATGCTGAGAAAGAGCGTAGATCATCAGATTTATTTAACCAACCATGGTAAGTATAAGGGGTGTCTCTTGCATAGCATTGTGGTCTTTTTTATTTTATTAATTTGTTTTATTTCTAGTTTGTCTTCTCTGCACACTACTTCCTCTAGTTGAAAACAAATCAATTACCACCCTTTGGTTATGGATGAAATGTAGCTGTCATGATTTAAAATCCAGGTTTGAAGTTTCTTGATTGTTAGTTCCCTTTGATAGATTGCCTTGAGAGTGGGGAATGTATGATGTAACTGGAATTGTGTTTGAGTTGTATGCATGTGCTTCCCTCCACCCTGTATGTGGTGTTCTTATTTCAATTCAAATGACTGAAAAAGCATGATATACTTTTTCTTTTGCTCATGTACGTGGCAAAATTGGATTTGGAAAAGGTCATTCGCTTTTTCTTTTGTAAAAGCATAGCCAGTTGGTTAGTTACTTTGAGTATGACTATTGAATGTTGTACTTACATGAATCCTCGTTTGACAACATGAACAGGGTTGAGGATGCGATCATTCGCTATTTGAATCGCAAACCGGCAGCAGGAGGCGAGGCTCCAGGGAGCACATGATGCCCAGAGTCTGAAGTATATCATGGGAATTTCAGATGTAGCAAGTCTTCTGTATCATTGTATATGGTTGGGTCGAGCTAATGGAAGCACTGATATTTGTAGTTTCTGTGTTGATAGTAACTTATTAGGAGTTTCAGTTCTGCAAGTTGCAACCAATATCATTGACTGTAAGAAAAATTATATTAGGTAGGTGGGGATGGATTGGTGTACAGTAATTTCAGACTTGAGTTATCTTGTGGCGGACAAGGTTAAGATAGAAAAGACTTTGCACGCCATGACTATTTGTTCCATATATATTATGCTGAATTTTATTAGAGTAAAAGTTAATTAACTACTCTTTACACGTCTGAAATTAGCACGTCTCTCTTGTCAGTCACTATATTAAAACTTGAAAAATGTTAATATTAGTTTTTAAATTGATTTTTAAGCTTAAAAAAACAGATAAAATTTTTGAAAATAAAAGTGTTTATTATAATTTCTTACTTTTAATTTTATAAATATTTTTTTAATAAAACTTGTAAATTTTAGATGTTTAAGATCAAAATTCTTAAAACTTTTATTCCAAACTGCCTGGTTTCATCTTGAAACTTGTGTTCGACAGTGTAATAGGTTATAGTATAAAACTTAATGTAATTTTGTAGGTGTTTGGTGTTCTTTAGTTAAGATTAGAATTTTATTTTGGCATTTCGCTGACTTTAAATGTTAAATTCTGTTGTGTGGAATACAAAAGTGAAACTTTAATTTTCATTGGAGAAAAAAAAATGCTCTTGATAATATTACCAGTTTTGTCATAAGTTAAATTTATTCTGCAAATCCAAACAATTAAGTTTTTTAAATCCACATAAATTTTAGGTGAAGATTCAGGTTTGTGGTTCTTTGCCCTTGTTATGTAACATTTGCGATTAGAGTGGTAGTGGAAAAGGGAGAGATTGCTGCCATCATTTTCCTTATCCTCCATTCCAATTGGTATCTTTTTCTTTGACTTCTTCACCTTCCCAACTCCTTTTGTGATTTAATTAAGTCTAAAGGTGCGTTCAGAAGAGATCATATGAGAGTTTACTAAAATAGCTCATGACACACTTTTTTCAGCTTATTTCAACAAGTATTATGATCATATTTATGGTATAAAAACTCTTCTTGTAATAATATTTCATCGAATAAGTTCTTAATTAAGTTGTTATCCAACCGTCCTTATTATATTCTGAGATAGTTGAAGAGGTTCGGGCAGCGACCTGGGAATAAGCAACGTTTCTAATATTATGGCAATTAGCCGGTGAAGCAAGCGAAAAGCATGCGACCAGCATATGAGGGAGAAAATTGTGTAGGGAAGAAAAATAGGAAAAACGTGCTGCTTTCATCTTTGCAGGTTGAGTTGAAATGACGCATGTGAGAATGGAACAGTTTCTGCGTCAAGTTATTGGATAATGAATCACAAAACATTAGCTATAAAATGGTCATTGTCACACTTCCTCATTCAAGCTAATCTTGTTTGCCTATAATTGACTTCGAATCGTGCAAGCTGATTTATTCGGTAGCTCCCCTGCAGTCCTACACATAATTAAAAGTGTTTATTCAACAAGCCCTTTTTAATACAAGAACTTATAACATATATTGGACCGTAAAACTAATAGGAATAAGCTGAAAATAGCTTATTCTGAGAAGTTATATTGAATAACTTATTAAAATAAATTGAAAAGAGTTTACAAGAGTCATAAATTATTTTTATAACATCTTCATAAGTTTTTTCAAACAGGTCAATGTAAGAAAATATGAATATGCAGGAGTTGTCATTTGAGCCTACTGTGAATTACAATTGGACATAGAACAAATATTTCACAAAATGAACATGTCTTTTTTACTTTTAGGTCTCTTAGTTTGATCTTGTTTTTAGATATTATACGTTCGTTGATTACTACTGTAATTGGGATACAAGAAATGTGAGCTTTTTAAGTCCAAGAATAGTTTCATTGATCTTTTTTTATTTTAAGTAATCCTCTATCACATAAACTTGTGTCTATCATACTACTTTATACGTGTATAGGATGTGGAGAGGCAAGAGCTTGGATTGCATGAATTCAAAATCAGAGAAGGAAATAGATATCATATGCAACCTAACGTAAGGTATCAACACTTTTTCCTAGTTAATTACAGTATCTTTTCAACATATTATTTGGTTTATTAATTGAAATAACTTGTCCTTAATTTCTTTTAACAGTTTATTTGCTTTTACTTTATAATTTTCGTTACCTAGTTATTCAGAATCTGACAAGAAAAATTTAGTGAAGGATGCCTCTCTTAGTACCCTAAGAGAGGCTTTAAAACAAGTTATAGAAATTACATACTGAAAATTATGCGGCAGTTACTCTTCAGGTACCAATAACCCAGAAAAAAAAAATAAAAAAATATCAGCTTAATTAAATTTCAAACGGTTTCCTCGCTTGCCTAGGACTAAAGAGTTCCCTTGAAAGAACTGAGGTCTTATGTTTCCTCGGATAAACTTGAGTTTCAAGCAATATAGAATTGGAAGCACCATTGTAGAGGTCTACCTCATCGTTTTATGGAGACAAATTATACAAAACAATTAATTCAAGAATTGGTGGCCAACAATAAATATCAATCAGATAAACCTGCATAATATATCTGCACTGCATTCCGTAACATATGTATTGTACACATAAAGCAATGTGCGCAAGTAAATTGAATGAATGCTTTAAGCTTATATTTAAATGAGCTTACGTAATGCCATACGTTGATCTTCATATATGAAACAATATTCAATTGGGGTAAACATGTGCAGTATTCTGACGAAATTTTAAAGCATTGAAGTCACGTAAAAACAAAGCAAGTTTTGCAGGAATTGAGTTCACACTTGTGATCATGATCATGTAAAATGACTTGGTTTGTGTTTCAAAACACATTAAAAAACTGTAAATGTGAATCTAATACAAAAGTTATGTGTACTAGATTTTGTGTTATAAATTGGTGTTCATTGATCCAATTTTTTTAATACTATACTTTGTCGCGTTGAAACATGTTTTTAAGAAATAAAAACACAACTAAATATGCCATGCAAGTAGTAGTGTTAAATGTAAAATATAAATCCATATTATTATTTAAACGTGAATTCAAACACATTTTTACCGGAACATGAGTGCGCAGCAAAACTTCATCATAGGAATTGTTTACAACAATTCATTCTCTTTACACAATAAGCATAAAGCTGTTACCACTTGTAACACTCCGTAGTTTAACAATATTTTTTACTTCGCAAGGTCTTTACTTTGCATCTTGGTTTCAGTACAACAGCTTTGGCCCTGGAGACAACTTAGAAAATGTTTTATGAACAACTAAAATGTACAACCGAAAGTTATCTTTTTTTATTTTGAAGAGTAATTTTAAAATACACGTGTAGAAAAAAGATAAGTAATAAAAGTAAACCTATAACATACAATATGTGGCATCAAATTTTAAATGTTAAAATAGCAAGACTAAGATATTTAAATAAAGTGCGATTGACTCAATTGAATTTAAAATGTGGGTCAATCTAACTCTGTTTCTCCTTCTTGCAAACCAACACTTTTAAGCCGCCGGCCATGTGTGCCGTGAGAAGTGGCACGAATAAAGGACTGTCTGGGCTAACGATTTTAATATTGAATCGGCGAAGGATTGAAGCCACCACATACTTCATTTGAATGAAAGCCATTTCCTTCCCCAAACACACTCTTGGACCAGCCTGAAAAATTGGAAACTTAAAAGGAGAAACCTCTCTCAACAACGTTATTCCTTCACTGTTCCCAGGTTCCACAAACCACCGATCTGGTCTAAATTCAAAACAATCCTTCCCCCACAACGCTTCCATTCTCCCCATTCCATAGGGAAAATATGTGACCCTATCTCCTGCTTTCACCACAGTCCCATCTGGCAACACATCATTACCATTGGCATGTTTAGAATCCCATGCCACTGGTGGATACAATCTCATACACTCACACAAGCTTGCCTTTAACAATTTCAAATTCTTAAGTGACTCATAATTCAACACCCCTTTTGCCTTTATTTCTATCTCTTCTATTATTTGCTTCTCCATGTGAGAATGATGTGATATCAACCAAAAAAACCATGTCATAGCCGCTGATGTAGTGTCCCTCCCTGCCATGATGAAACTTGTGATCATGTCCCTAATCACCTCGTCTTCATGACCTGCATATATAAGCCTCGACAAAAGATCTTCAACTCCATTTTCATTTTCCTCTCTTATCGTCATCTTCTGTTTCCTTTCCTTAATCATTTTCATGACATGGGTCTGAACTTCCTCAACAGCCTCTTTGAGCAATCTCTCAGATCCAGCACCAAGCCACCTCTTCATCCTCCAAATCATGAACAAAGGTGCTGCTCCACGCCTTGCAGATACCTCTGCTGCCACATCAAAAGCTCTAGCAAGTGGTGAAATAGGGACACAAGGGTCCAAGCAACAATTACTGTTACTCCCCAATGTGAATTTGCAAATCACATTGAATGAGAACCTCCCTAACAACTCTTGCAAGTCAACCACTTTGTTCTCATTGGACAATGCCTCAAGCATAGGCATTAACCTCTCACGCACTTCTTCCTCCAAAGTGTTCATGATAAACTCCCTTAGGGACCTGGCAGAGAATTCATGGCTGGCCAACTTGCGTTGTGCCAGCCATAAATCACCGTCCACGGCGAATATTCTCGGCCGAGGAAATCGCCGAGGATTTCCGTGAAAGGCTTCCCTTTGGGGAAGTTGTTGAAGTTTGTCTTGAGTATGTACTCAACATTTTGTGGGTTTGTTGTCACAATGGTTCTGCGTGCACCAAGCCTTTGAACCACTATGGTTTTGGTGGGGGATTGAGATAGTAACTCAGTGTACCAATATAGCAGCCTCAACCTGTTCTTGTAAAAGGAGACGAGGCATCCTATGATGGGATAGGTTACAGGTCCGGCGCCGGAGAATTTCTTGGCTCGCCGGAGGGTTATGTAGAAGAAGACAAGGAGAAGAAAGACGAATGAGAGAGGGTGCAAGGAAAGGAGGATCGTGAGTGCTCTCATATTACCTTCCAAATGAGTAGTAATATGGAGAGCTCTATGAGAAGGATGGTGCCCCTTGTGAGTTGACTATGCCTCAGGTATGCTCTTTATATATGGAATATGGAAAGTATATGGTCTTTATTTAAGAGCAGAATTTTAATTCCTTTAGACTAGGAGGTGCATAAAACGAGAAAGATCTAACCTTAATTTGTATTTAAGTAATATATCGTTAACTTAAAGTTGGGTCTTTATTTTTCACTCTAGATGCTTTCTTGTTTAGAGGTGTAAATATGATATGCTGCTACTTAATATTTGAATACAAGAGACATGAATATTTATCACTGGATCAATTGACGTGACAGTGTCTTGTTTCAATTTATATGAGTTTAAGTTTGAGACTGAAAAAAAGAAAAGTCATAATGTCTATAATACTCGTGCTTGATTTGACTTGAACAAAATTAATTTTCGTAAAAAATACTAAGTATATAATAAGAATTTAACATAGATTGGTTTTAAGTATATATTTAATCATTTGATATTATATTATTAAAAGAGAATTTGTTACGAAAAGTGTTTATATTATACATATTAATATTACAATTTTTATATCATCAATCAATTAAAAATATCATAAATATAATGTTTATATAATAATGATTACAAAAATTAATAATTTTTTAATTATATAAATATTATAATTAAATAATATTGTGAAGAATATTTATACAAATAGGGTACTCTAATTAATTTCTAATAAAAGCTCTTATATTCAAAATTGTGCAAATTTTAATAAAAAACTTAAATGTGCAATTATCAAAATTTTATAATCTTTATTTAAAACAAATTTTTAATTTCTTTAAAAGCGAAAGCATAGATCAAGAAAATATAACAATTAATTTAGAATTATATTTTGTTTCAAAATTAATAATTAATAATTATACATTTATATGTATGTATAAATATAATAATAATAATAATAAAAATTTATATTTAAATAGTTTAAAATAATTTAAGATTTTAATAATATATTTATCTAATTAAACCAAAATAAATTTTTGTCACGTAAATATTTATTAATAATTGTTATCATTTGTTCAATAAATAAACTAAAATTTATCTAATCTTTTTACCAATACTTTTGAAAAAAAATTCTTAAATAAAATAATAAAAAGTATATGCATTTGTGAACAATTCTTAAAATTTATATAATTTTTGTTAGTAATTGATTATATATATATCTATATATAGTTTTAATATCTTCAATCTTATTATTCTTATGAATTCTAAAATATTTATTTGTGGTTGAATTATTTTATAAAAAATATTAAAAAAATAAATTTAGCTAAGTGATAAATTTATTTATCTATCAATGTTTAAATATAATTATTCATAACATATTACTTAAGAGTAAATATTAAATAATATTTTTAAATAAAATAAATAATTTTTAAATAATTTTTTTAACTTACACATTTGATGTATGATAAAATTAACATGACTTTTGTTTATTGGGATAGAAATAAAAATCATTCAAACTTTGTTTATAACAAGACTTTAAAAATCTTGTTATAAGTGTGGTATCCTAGAATTGTAATTTAAGTTTTTGTTTTTGTTGAGTTTGTTGACACTGTTTAATAAAAAAAAAAATCATGTTATAAATATTATATTAAAATAAAGATATATAAAATATTTATTATAAGATAATGATAATTATATATTTTTTATTAATTATGTACAACTAATAAGACAAATTACATTCACCATATATTTAATCAGATTTCACTTGATACAACTCCAGTTTCATATTACCTTGACATCGCTTGATTTGTATAATTGCATAGTAAATAAGGAAGTTTTGTATAATTGCATATTGTTATACAAATTAAGCTTGTGCAAAGACAAAAAAAAAAATAATGAAAAAATAGATAGGATATTCAAATATAGAAGAATTAATTGTAACATCCTTATTTTATTAAAAATAATAAGAAAATAATTTTAAAATTAAGAAAGAAAAATTCAGTTAAATTATAATAAGTGAAATTATAAAATATTTTGCTCAAATTTATAAAAACTTAAATAACAAAATAATAAGAATTAAATTAATTTTAAGAGGAAACATTAAAATGACATTAATATACATTGTTATTGTAATATACAAGATGTTGACATTTGCAAAATATATATCAAAATATATTAGAATTTATTTACAATATTTACAAAATATAAAATATAATAAGTTCTAATGAGTAGTCTATTCACCAAAAAGACTGATAAAGATACTATCCGTCCTCATGTCATCGCTCTATCTATACAATGCCGTTGAAAT